TGCATCTTTCTCAGGAATGCATAAAACTTACACTAATACTTATTTCTCCACGATTTTTCAAATTTAATTATATAATCATGGCAAACTCATAACCCAGAAATATTTTACTCCTGCTACTAACTAGAAAATTGGTTCCCAGGAGACTGATGGAATTTTGAAAACATTCAATGATACTTGGGCCAAAAGAGAATTGCCTTCTACTAGTGGTTACCCGCCTAAGAAGGATGTGCCTTTGGTGTTAAGCAAAGATGTGGGGGAGGACTTCACCAGTTATATGTACCTGAGAGGGTTGGCAATAAAGTCTCTAAGTTTCAGTAGGGGAGGTAAATTTCTAGTCACTTAGAATCTTTGATTTATCAAATCATTCCAACACTCAGGATTTCACAATTCCCCACATACATTTGTCTCATTTATTCAAAATATCAGACAATACAAGCAGCTGCTCCTGTAAACTAGAAATTTAGTGGAAAACAGTTATATTATAGTGTGTTGATGTTAGTCTCCTTGTGAACCATGTGATATTTGATGACTCAGTTGATACTCCTTGACTATCACAAGCTAATAAACTAACTTAAACTTCCTTTAATAGCCATAAGTCATTTAGTCATGCTCAGCCTTTATATAATTTTTATATCTGACATATTTTTATAATAAAAGAAGTACAATTTTAATCAATAAAATATTAACTTCATGAAGAATTTCATCTGACTTAAAGTCATATGTGGAGATTATATTCCCTTATGGTTATCAAAGAGTCATCTTCTAACTAGATACAGACCTTGACACACTGATGTCTTAGTTAGGGTTTCTCTTGCTGAGACAAAATACCATGACCAAAAAGCAAGTTGGGGAGGAAAGGATTTATATGGCTTATACTTCAATATTGGTGTTCATCACTGAAGGAAGTCAAGACAAGAACTCAGCAGGGCAGGATTCGGAGGCAGGAATTGATGGTCATGGAGGTATGCTGCTTACTGGATTGCTATCAATGACTTGCTCAGTACACCTTCTAATCGAACACTGAACCAGCAACCCAGGAATGTAACTATGAATCATGGGCTGGGCCTTATAGCTGGATCTCAAGAAGGTGTTTCCTCAGCAGAGGCTCATTCCTCTCTGATGATTCCAGGTTGTATGAAATTGAAAAAAAAAACCCACCTACTACACTGGAATGCAGATAATTGTTCATTTTTCTCTATTCCATTTACCTTAAAAGTCTGTTTTTAGCATCACAGTCCCTTTGGGAACACTTTGGGTACTTGCATTTTCTTATAGCAATTATAAGCAAAATTACTCTGGCTATTTGAAACAGAAATGGATGTGTATATGTTATGTAATAAGGCTTATGGAATCATTGACAGCAGATTCAAAGAAGCAGGATCTAAGTATCTGAGGCCAGAGCTGGCTCTGTCACAGTCCTGCTTGATAACACAGATGATCTTCACTGCCCTTGTGAAACAGCTGATACCAGGCACAAAAGAGTATTGATGTTGTTCCTGTCACTGTTGTTGTTGCTATATCTTGATCTCAGACTTTCCAGAAAAGCAGCAGTCTTGCCACCAGCACAAACTTCCTGTTTAAAAACCCACTTCACCAGAAAACTAAAAATACCACTGCCATGAAAAACTTAGGATCTTGCCAGTTCCTCTGAATATATCCTAAACCAAGTACCTCATGTCTAGCACAAGAAATGATACTGAAGTTTCTGTTCTGCTTTGGTTTGATTATTATTTTTTTCAGTTATGATTTTGATGTTTAGAGATTGGTGGGATTAGTTTTGAAATATATGAATTGCCATAAAAAAGATGATGTACTCTGACATATTTGGTTAATTTTATTTATTC